GGGCCCCCCAGGACTGCCAGGACCGCCAGGACCACAAGGGCCACAAGGGCTACCAGGCCAGGCATTGTCCGGGCTACCAGGGAAGCCTGGACCGCCTGGTCCTCAAGGATACCAAGGACTCAGTAAACCTGGCATGCCAGGATTGCCAGGAAAACCTGGAGGGCCTGGATTACCAGGACCTAAAGGTGACCTTGGTTCTAATGGTGGTGGAGGATCAACTGGACTTCCTGGGCCTCCCGGGCGCCCAGGTCCCCCTGGACTTCCAGGGATTTTGAAACCAGGAGGTCAGGGACTGCCAGGCCAGCTTGGTCGTCTAGGGGAGCCTGGCCATAAAGGTCCACCTGGGTTTCCTGGTCCTTCAGGTCCCAAGGGAGACAGAGGGTACGGTCAACCTGGTTTACCAGGTTTGAAAGGACCTAGCGGACCACCAGGTCAACCTGGCAATACGGGCGGCCCCGGGTTTGGAAAACCTGGCATGAATGGTGTCCCTGGACAACCAGGAATACCAGGAAAAACTGGTACTTCTGGAGAGTCAGGACTGGCGGGGCCTACTGGTGAAAGAGGCCAACCAGGACCACCAGGCTTGACAGGAATTGGAAAACCAGGAAATGATGGTTTCAGAGGGCAGCCAGGGCCCCCTGGAGGGAAAGGGGAATCGGGCCCTCACGGTTTACCAGGGGGTCCAGGCATGCCAGGTTATGGTAAACCAGGGTTTCCAGGACCTAAGGGTCACATTGGACATGGTGGTCTTACTGGACCTCCGGGCCTAAAAGGAGACAAAGGTCACGGAGGTCTTCCAGGGGTCATCGGTCCTAATGGTCCTAGCGGAATGCCCGGGCCACCGGGACCAATAGGGGTTCCTGGTAGTCTCGGGTTCCCGGGGCAAAAGGGAGAGGATGGATTTGCGGGACAAAAAGGAAATCCAGGAATGAAGGGTGACATAGGCCCCCAAGGTCTTCCAGGAAAGCCGGGTTTCTCAGGCGGGGAAGGACAACCGGGGCCGAGAGGTTTTCAAGGACCCATTGGCCCTAAAGGAGAAGCTGGTATGAGGGGTTCACTTGGTACCCCTGGTGCCACAGGGTTAACTGGACCGAGGGGAGAGGCAGGACAAACTGGAGGGAAAGGCTACCAGGGACAACAAGGTATCCCAGGGCTTACAGGACCAGGGGGACCACTCGGACCTCCTGGGATGCCAGGGCCAAAAGGTGAAACGGGCCTACCCGGTAAATCTGGCTATCCTGGTGAAGGAAAACTAGGAACCTCTGGTAATATTGGTCCTCAAGGTAACACTGGGCCAAGTGGCCCTACTGGACTTACAGGACAACCTGGACAACCCGGACTCCCCGGTCCTCCAGGACTGCCCGCTGGATCCCCTGACATCGGACAGGTCCTCCCCGTGACCGGCCCATACCCTGGCACAAAACAAGGTTGGAAGAAAAATGGAGGCGACATAGGTGGAAATGGCGTCGAGATGCCTGCGTTCACAGCAAAGCTCACTACTCCGTTCCCGCCTGTAGGATCTCCTGTCATCTTTGACAAACTCCTGCACAATGGAAATCAGAACTACAACCCCCAAAATGGTGTTTTTACCTGTAGCGTACCAGGGGTCTACTATTTTGCTTACCACGTCCACTGCAAAGGGGGTAACGTGTGGGTAGCACTGACGAAGAACAATGAGCCAGTGATGTACACATACGACGAATACTCAAAGGGCTTGCTGGATCAGGCATCGGGGAGCGCAGTACTCCCATTACGACAAGGAGACACCGTGCATATACAGCTGCCGTCCGACCAGGCCTCAGGACTTTATGCCGGTCAATATGTCCACTCTTCGTTTTCCGGATTCTTATTGTACCCCATGTAAAAAATGGCAACAAGAATGACACATTCATGCTATTTTATACCATGTTTGTGTTCAAACTACTATAGTCTTAAAGGTACAATGTAGGTCCTGGTAAAAGGTTTACAATCAGGTTTGGCAGAATACACTTTTGAGATAAAGTAACAACATACTCCATTGGATATTTCTTTGCATTACCTACATCACATACACCAATGGAGTCCATAAAAGTGATGCAGTTATTGAACGATGAACCGAGTATTTCCATTGTATGAATGTATCTGGTCCTTGTCTAATATATCTAAGAGGTATTGGAGAGCAGCGGTAAAGAAATGTACCTCAAAATATCTCAATTGTCATAGTTATCGTATGTTTACATTGTGCATTTATTCTTATATCCATCTACACACAATATATCAGTGTTCATGTCAGGGCCTGGTAATTCCTGAAGCAATAAGGCTTTAAGTCGTATTCACTTTTCCCTCATTTTTCGCTGTATACTGGGCACATAAGAACATATCGGTTTTGATGTACAATGACTTCACTTACAGCTATCAGTACCGAACGCTGGGTAATGATACAGTTATTAAGTTATTGAAAGTCTTTTTCCATTATTTTAAGAAATGTAAACATATTAATTTGACATTAAAATAAGAATAACTACATGGTCATTTTTTACTTCTCATTTTATCCAAGGTTGGCAGTTGAACTATCCTGGAATATTTGCTTTTGACAAATCGATGTCATGATTTGTTTTAGTTTTTTGTTTGACATCAATTCTTTAAAAGGTTGTTGTCACTTTGTCAGTACTCTCTGTAATTTATTTGTTTGACTACTGATTATTTGGGATTGTATTAATTTGTGTGTGTTAACATTAAATGATGGAATTAATTTGAAGATGCAGATCATAAATGTTCTGTGGCAAAACATAACACAAACATTCAAAAAACATATCTTCATAGTCATACCCAATAAAACCATGTGTCAATTTATTTTTTTATTTTATACTGTATTTCTTTAAACTGTGGATGTGCCATTTTTGGAATGAAATTCTTATTTGTTCTTACCTATTTCAATTTTCTTTGGACAATGGTGAACTGCATTAAATGGGAAACTGTGCCTTAAATATGTGAATTGTGTTGCTTTGATTGATATTGTTCTAATAAAAAAACCATTTGTCCTGACTATTTTTATGTCGTCACATTTTAGCTATTTTCTACATGAAATGTATACTATTCTTGAAAAAATTACTTGGTACAGTTTTGTTGTAATAAAATAGCAAAAAAGATCACCAGAATGTCAAAGGCTTTTTACTCTAATAATTATGTATTGCCACATATGGGTCAGACATCTTGGACCAATGACCTATGTAACCAAATCCATCTGGTGTCATCACAAGCCAAGACTGTGACCTCTGAGAACTCAATACTACAGTATATTCAAGAGTGTACATGCAAGAAAAATACTTTCCGGGTAAAAGTACTCTAAAAGTAAAGATTGCTCATAATATGCAGAAGCATTGCTTAGCTTTTTTAAGGTGGAGCCAGTCCCCATTGACTTCAATACATACCTTTTCCGAAATAAGGTCCCATGGAGCTCCCCCGGAAAGGGAGGGACTTCGCCTCTCTATAACCGGACTCGAGGGAGAGAGATCAGAGATCAGATCAGCTGCTGAGTCAGACAGATGCAGCTCTGCATAATCACCTGAAGCCCCGCCCACTGTTTAGCGAGCTGCATGAGAAACTTACGGGCTGTCAGGAGAGAGAGAGGGAGGGAGAGGGGAAAAGAGAGGATCCGTTTCTCCCGTGTTATTATTCAAAGTTAATGTAAACAGTCTTTAATTAACTATTAGTAGAGAATAACGAGTAATGAATATACTTTATAAAGATCTGCAGATAAATGTTTAGTCTTCTCAAGCACCAACAATCAAATATCTCTCCTGATTGTTGGCAATTGACAATCACCTTTCCCTGAATTTTACTCAGTTGTAACTAAAGTCTGCTTTAAGGGTTGTTTATATTTCATATCATCAGAATCTGTAAAGTAACTAAAATAAATGTAGTGGAGTAAAAATACCAGGTTAACCTCTGAATTGTAGTGGAGAATTACAAAGTAACAATGAGCTGTCATGTAATATATTAATGCTGCCCATTATGGATAAAAGCGATTTTCACCCATTTAGTAATTATTATAATGTTTTAAATGTGTACACACCGTACACACCAATTTGTTTCCTATCGCCTAAACCTCCAGGGCTGTACACAGTTTAATACTGTCAACTTCTAATTTTGGGAACAACGAAAACATCTTTTAAAACTACAATTCCCAGTAGAGACGTGCCATAGTAGAACATGTTGTGAAACACAAAAGCCAGCATGTGTAGTTCTGGGGGGCCGTTCGAGTCCAGTTTTGAATAGTCTGCCGTGGTTTCGTTCCATTTCAAAGAGTTTGACGCTCGGCATAACCTTGGCGCACTGCCACTCCAACATCCAAATCCCAGAGCTTGAAGATTAATCACCGGGTTTGTCAACGGGACTGGAGTCCACATAATAACGTTACTTACCGTTTAAATTGACCAAATAAATGCAGCAGACAATGTTATTTAACCACAATTACAATTTATTTTATTTCAACTATATTCTTATTCTTATTCTTATTCTTACTACTACGACTACTATTATTATTATTATTATTATTATTATTGTTATTGTACATGTAATATTTTTCACTTTTCTTTTTTTTCACTTATTTTTTTTTTCACTTTTCATTTTTAAAATGAGGGTGCATAACGACTCAACTAACGGTGCAATGCACCCTTATGCACCCCCGTAGAACTGGGCCTGAGCCAGTTCAAACTACACAAATCAATACATAGTAATATATTTGTTTACGACTAGAACTGTCAAATAAATATAGTAGTTTTTCACTATGTTCAATATGTTCCCTCTTAAATGTAGTGTAATAGTGTTTTCAAAAAGTAATTACAAGTACCACAACATAAAAAAAAAGTCTGAATCACATTGATCAAACCGACTGAAATGATGGAAAACTGCATTAGAAGAACTTTGGTGCCCTCTGCTGGAACCTCCACGTATGAGAAGGAACGAGAACCTGCGAGATAACGCGAGAAAGAGTCTGGCCAATCAGAGTTGCATACGTCATGTCGACGATGCCTTCGCTTCTTCCTGCCTCCACGGGTCTAGTCAGCTCAAACGTCTCCCTGTTTTGACCGGGATATTTATGATTTATGTTTCTATTCACGACAGCAGCAGATAAAAAGTAAGTGCTATGATTAACATCTAATACGTTTCGACTTACGTTACGTGACAATTTGGCGTCTTAGTTTCTCATTTATCTCAATATACCAGGCTAACTCTCCCGTCTGTATGACTTGCTAACAGTTAGCTTGTTAGCACAGCTATGGAGTGTACCTGCCGCAAATGATTTAAAGTAACCTGCCAACGGTAATAATGTAGCTGGAAGTGAAATAAGGCTTTTGGCGTATTAGACTTAAATGCTAATTGAGAGGACGTTGCAAGCCAAGCATAATAATACGTGTATCATGCTAAGTTAGCGAAGGCAAAGTGCAAGTACACTCACTGGCCCCTTCATTAGGTACACCTAGTGAAGTTAACTGCTCGTTAACACTAATCAGCCAATCACATGGCAGATACTCAATCATTTAGGCATGTAGACATGTTCAAGACGACCTGATGAAGTTCAATCGGCATCAGAATGGGGAAGAAACGTTTTTAATCTTTGTTTTTTTTGTCTGCTGTTTTAAAATGTGTTATGTTACAATGATGTAAACGTGTTAGATTTTGCTTCCAGATTTCCAATATGGCATCTCGAGCAGGCCCACGAGCCTCGGGCACGGATGGCAGTGACTTCCAGCACCGAGAGAAGGTCGCCTCACACTACCAGATGAGGTATTTACAAAAAATCTATTAATTGGAGAGAAATATTAGATGGATGCCAACTCCTGACTAGTGAAATGCAACTGTACCTGCACTTTGATTTATAAGTGACTGTTAAGAGATTCACTTCATATTGTTAAAGACGTGCATGAATTCAGTTTGCATTTGCAACTGTGCCCCTCACAGCGTGGCCCTGAAGTCTGAAATCCGTAAACTCAACATCGTCCACGTCCTGATCTGGGTCCTGATGGCAGCTCAGGTAATAAAAACCCTTTTGAAAAATGATTTTCTTTGACAGTTGTAACACCCTAGCTGATGTCTGATGTGTGGTTCTCTTGTCAGGTGATTGTGAGCCAGCTGAGCCTGGTGTCCCACAAGATGGTTTGCTCTCCATACCAGTGGGAGTACCCCTACCTGCTGAGCATAATTCCCACAGTCTTCAGCTTCTCGGCTTTCCCCCGCAACAACATAAGCTACTTGGTGGTCTCCATGATCAGCGGCGGGCTGTTCTGCATCGCCCCTCTGATCTACGGCAGCATGGAAATGTTCCCCGTGGCACACCAGCTCTACCGGCACGGCAAATCGTACCGCTTCATCTTCGGTTTCGCCGCCGTGACCGTCATGTACCTGGTGATCATCATCGCTGTGCAGGTGCACGTCTGGCAGATCTACTACAGCAAGAAGCTGCTGGACCAGTGGTTCACCAGCACGCAGGACAAGAAGAAGAAATGAGTCTGCCCGAAGCACAGACTGAGAGAAGAGACTCTCAAAAGTATTGGTCTTTTTCTATATTTATATTTGACAGTGATGACATCATTGTTGATACAAAAAAAATACTGGACTTCTGCCATCACTCTGTAAATTAAAGGATAAAAGGTGGAGTCTGAGACCCCCCCCCCCTCTAGATTTTAGACTGCCTATCTCTTTACACTTACATGGCCTTTCTAATGTTTGTAGTGTGTTATGTGCTTGTATTGCAGAGTTAAAAGCTTCATTCATAACATTTAAACTTTGACCTTCAGAGTCCCTGCAGCGTTTTTTCCTGGTGAAAATGTCTCTCCTGGCTCCGCCCCTAATCCTCTACTGAACTGTAAACGCCTTGTGTTTGTACCTCGTTATTTCAGGTACTGACAGTGTAAACACACCAGGTCTAACTGGAAGAAGACTGTGATGACATGTAAGGTAATGTTTTGGAAACAAATTAAAATTAAAATGTGATTGTAAGATCGGTTGTGGGCTCACTAAGGCTTTATTTGGGGTTCTGTCACTGGTGGAAACATTCTCTTTGCCTTGTTTGTTTATGCAACACAGCCTTCACTCTTTTCCCTATTGTATGTGTGTGTGTGGTAAAAACAGAGAAAGGTCAATGTAGTAATGTTTTTTAGAAGATGACTTTTATAAGTGTCAATCATTTTAGATCAACTGTTTAGGAAATAAACTTAAGATCAGATGAGATAAATCTTTGATACCCAGCGTTTAAATTCAGTACATTGTTGTATATTGCAACCTTCATCTGATGGTATCAAACATTTTCAGAAGAAGATCAAATTTAAGAAAGTTGAAAATCACCCCAAAAGATTGATAGATTTAGTTTGCAGAGAAAAGGACAAGGGATCCATCCTGACACTAAAAACAAACAACAGACACATCTCTAAAAGGAGTGGACTAGTTCAATTCTCAACCAAATCTCAAAATATTTCAAAAACATTTTAAGAAGGAAAACACTAGTACAAAATGGACATTCAAAATTCATAATTAAATTAATAAATAGGCATCTGTGTGACACTCCTATGATGTGTACATTTGTGCAATAGCTGCTGGGATAAAACAGTTTTTATACCGCTTCGTTCTACTCTTTAGGAAAACTAGAAGAAGAAGCTTAAATTCTGAGAGCAGAGGGTGGTAGTCATCGTCTCATATGGAGCTGGATAACTGCTGTAACTGCCTGAGGGACAGGGTCTCCAGGTTTAGCTGTGGCTGACCAATCAGTCTGCTGGACCGCTTTACGATCTGACAAGTGACCTGAAGTCAGGTTACCAAACCATGACATTAGTGAAAAAGACAGAATTGACTCGATAAAAGCACGATCAAATATGATCATCATGGTTTTGTCAATGTTAAAATAGGACCGTTTCCTAAGACAGTACAAACGCTGATGCCCTTTTGCACACAGCTTCACAGTTTGGATCAGAGCTCAATTTTGAGTCAATAATTGTCCCAAGATATTTGTACGATTGCACAAATTCTACTTTCTGATTCCTGATTGTTAAGACTTCATGTATGTGGGGATGTCTTCTAAAATCAATGATCATGTCGTGACATGCAGGACAATGTTTCCCTTTCAGGTACTGCCACACTTATTTCCCTGACTGTTCAAAGTGCAGGAGGGTATTCATTAATGAAGTCCCTGTACCTTTCCTCTATGGGACCTTCAGGCACCAGCTGACAAAGTTCCTCATCAGCAGCTTCACAGCTTCCTCTGGACTTTTATGAGTTTAAGAATGTCTGTCAGAAACGGAATCTTACATTAAATAACTTTCAGCTCTTTTGTTTCCCTTTGATTGCAGTAAAACATCTAACCTTAACGATTACAGCTGACTGAAGATGGCAGCTCCACATTAGCCTCTTCATAATATAAATATGACTTAATATGATATTTTTTACATATTTGTTTACATTTTTTGGACTACTATAGTATGTTTTTTTGACTTGCGACATATAATTTGTTCCCCTCACAGTTTTGACATTACTTTATTTTTGTACATATATAGAATGTTTTTTTATATATACACTGTATTATATTTGCTTTATTTTTTTCCTAATATTATGGTATTAGATTTTGTTCAGATTTATTGTATTTTATATATACTATGATGTTTTTTATGAGTTTTGTGACATACTAAAATAAACCCTCTTGTTTGTTCTGTAAAAAGGTTTTTGCGATTAAATGTAAAAGAAATCTAGCTCTTAGACTAGTCGTTGTTTTTTAGCATATTTTCGACAAACTATGTATGTTTTAGTTTTAGTTTTTACATACTTCAATGCAGTTTTTTCAGATATTCCACATATTTTGACATACTATACGAGACCATTGTCAAATGTGATCTTAATCTTAAAAGCAACGACATGACTTCATTAAGAGTTGCAAAAAGGGAAATGCTTTATTTTTACAAATATTTGATAGAGCTGCGGCCGCTCAGCAAACGCATCATAAAGTAGAGCCAGGTGGAGTGCTGGGAATCTTTTAGAACTGTAAATAAGTTGAATGAGGCTTTGGATCTAAAATAACTTACAATGCAAAACTTAGGCTTTTGTTTTGTCTTTATCTGCACATGACCTCTTACATATGAGACCTTGGTAAATACCATAGTCAAACTGTACTAGTGTGTTGTGAAGCTCACCCTTCTCCATCTCCCTGCCTGCCTATCAGGAAGTCATCAAGGTGATCCAGCCGGTGTTCTTGGGGAAGATGATTATTTACTTTGAGAACTACGACCCAGAAGACATGGCGGCTCTGTACGAGACTCTGGGCTACGCGGCCGGCCTCTCCGTCTGCTCCATCGGACTCGCCCTGCTCCATCACCTCTACTTCTACCACGTCCAGAGGACAGGCATGAAGATCAGAGTGGCCATGTGTCACATGATCTACAACAAGGTCAGGTGGTCTGCCTCGGTACCAACGTCCCAGTATTGGAAATGTGATTCGCTATTTACGTCGGATTTTTCCGTTAATGTTTTATTGTTAAGGTTATTAGGACAGTTGTACAATCACTTCTTTTTCCAAAAGTTTATTAATGACAGGTTTCCCCTAAAACAACCTTTCAAAAAAAAAAAATTTACCATACTTTTTAATGTATATAATGATATTTGGTTTTTTGTTTTTTTCTTCTTGTCTAGTTTGACACTATTATAAATTTTGTATAGATTTTAACATTTTTGTGACGACATTTAATATAACAACTTTAACGTTCCCCTTTCTTATGCTAAAACTTTGTTAACGTCACTTCTTATGACAATTTTTTGTCTTTTAGTGATAATTTTGATTTGTTAATGCTGAACCAACCTAGCGACAGTATTCAAGGAATCTAATTTACCAACCCTAAGTAAGTCGTAATTTGACACTACCTTTGGTGAAACATATATAAGTTTCACCCGAGGAAACTGTAATCTTAGGATTGGTGGTTATTGCGTTAGTAGCGGTGCATTGAAGACGTCGGTACTGTTGCCGTAGTTATTGGAGGAGAAGTCTAGAGACTCCGAAGGAGAGTTGTGTCGGGTAGAAGTTGCTGAGTGTTCATTCTGGTACTAACTCCGTTGCCCACTTTGGTTGGCCGGTGTAGACACCCCCCCTCCCAGAAGTAAATCCCTTCGAAATTATAACGTTAAGATCATCCCGAAAGTCACTTCTTAGTACAGTCAGGACCACGCTGGGTGATAACACGGGGTCCCGGTTGCCACGAGATAGTTGTCTTTTGCACGGGTACAGTTTGCGTTAACGTTGTTTGGACCATTCGGATTTAAGGTGATACGAATCAAGGTCGAAACCGTTATAGGGTCATAGAAATTTTTTTAATAATATTAACCGTGAATATAAAATCCCGAAAATACAAATATATGAATATTTAGTGTGTCCATATATGTAATAGAACTACTTTTTCCAGTCCCTGTGTAGAAGCCCCCCTCTTCATTGTACAAGTGTTGGAAACCTTCTGATGAAAACACTGTCAACACAATCAAATATATATAAATAGAAGGTAAAATAAAGAATACATAAAGTTTGAAATAAATGAACAGAAACATAAAAAAAAATATGAACCCAAAATTAGGTCAAACACAGTGTGTAACCAACAGCAACGGAACGGAACACACAGTCTTCGTCGGTTCTGCTTATAGTCCTCTACAAGGGAAGGGGGGTTAGAGGTGTTCAGAAAACAGTGGTTGAGGTTGTTTTCCCGGGAGTGGGCGACTCCCGCGCGACCTGCTGGAGAAATTCCACTCCCATTTCCAGGACCTTTTTTTTTTTTTTGGCCCCCAAAAAAAAGGGGAGACCGGAACACCTTGACTCAAGTAGTGAGTGTCTCGAATCCCCTCTAAACCTCCTAATTCACAATACAAAAAAGACATACTCTGCCTTTTATTTTTTCGATTTAGAACGTAACAATTACCAAAGTCGTTTCCAGATACACTGGGTGTTCAGCCAGGGTGACGGTGTTTACCGGACGCGGTGCAGGGGGATTCTGGTGGCGTCTGTGTACACAATGTAAACCCAATCTGTTTAATGTGACGTTATTAATTCACAAGAAAAGAGAATCGCTCAACACGACAAATTAAAAAGATTTAACCCTAGTATTTATATAAACTAGAGTAAATTTCACGTTATTTTGTGCTCGAGAATTAAAACACACCTAGGTCCGTTTTGATTAGATTTGTAGACTCTGACAACCGGTCCTTACAACATTGTGAAACTGGAAAACGTCCTGGGGGGCCGGCGGCTTTTATCGTCGGGAAGACGAGAGACTTTCTAAAGTAAAGTGAATGCAGTAGTTTGAACAAACTGCAGCAACTTTCCTCCAACATGCTAGACGGCACACCAGAAAGGGTACCGACTTGACGACTCTGTGCTCGGATCCTTCTTCTCTCCTTCCCGGTAATCCGACTCGTAGCTAAGTGTTTGTGAAAGGTTCTATAGTGTACTCCTTCCTATATCTCTCTATTTCTATACTTAACCATCAAAATCCGAAACAACTTCTTTGTGTAAGTTTCCAGTAAGGGAGTCACGGTACTGTACGTCCAGTTCGGTCGTAGTTACTATTCTACATTGCCCGCG